GAGCACAGGCTCCGGATGCGCAGGCTCAGCGGCCATGGCTCACGGGCCCAGCCGCTCCGCGGCATGTGGGATCTTCCCGGACCAGGGCACGAATCCGTGTTCCCTGCATCGGCAGGCGGACTCTCAACCACCGCGCCACCAGGGAAGCCCCCCCTCTTGCTTTTTAAACAGCGAAGGTAATTCTGTTTCCCAGTCTCCCCCTTTCCCTTACTTGCTACCTTCATACATCAGCGGTTCATCTTACCAGGTTGCTGGGATGGCTGAGGCAGCTGTTGACCACGTTGGGGGCTGTAGGCCACCGGGTGAGAGAGAGGTCGATATTGCTGGTTGGAGTTAGGATACTGTCCAGGGGGATAGTAAGAAACCTGGATCTATGGTAAGAGGAAACAGATGTATCAGGAAGTCCCTCAAATTCAGCCCCCACATCCCCAAACTATTAAATACATCACGGTTAATTCCCAGAAATCTGTAAATGGAGCTATTTTGGGCCTGCAATTGCAGCATTCGTATACAAGTTTGAAACAGAACAGGAAGGACTTGTGTTATTTGAAAGATGGCCTTCTGACTAGAAAGAAAATTCTCAAGTCAAGGTGGGGAAATGGAGGTAGGTAGGGGACAGTTATCCCCTCTGATTTGTCTAAACTAGAGGAAGAAGGATTATAATACTGGACAAACTGAATTAGTGATTTATTTTTTTAAAAATATTTATTTATTTATTTATTTGGCTGCGCCAGGTCTTAGTTGTGACATGTGGGTCTTTTAGTTGCAGCATGGAGGCTGTAGGTACAGCACGTGGGACCTAGTTCCCCAACCAAGGATCGAACCCGGGCCCCCTGCATTGGGAGCACAGAGTCTTAACCACTGGACCACCAGGGAAGTCCCTGAATTAGTGATTTAAACTGGGAACCCAAGCCACTCACCTGCTGAGGGGGCTGCATGTAGCCCTGGGGTGGCAGGACTTGCTGAGTAGGTGGTGCATGGTTAGAGGTGGAATAGCTGGAAGTAGGGAGGGGCTGTCCTGTAGAAGCCATGATGAAGCTAGTCTGCTGAGGGTGCTGGGAGATAAGTGGGGGCTGGAACAGAGCTGAGGATGCGTCAGCTGCTTCGGTAGAACCTTGACGGCTAAGGCTCATTTGTCCAAAGGGGTTGCTGAGATCATCTGTCTGTTAAGAGAGTGAGGGAGACCCAAGGACTGAGGTCATATCAAACCCCAGGTCTTTGGCTTTAACACAGACAGACAGACAGAAATAGTAGCCCTCTCTACAGCCTTCCTTCCTTACACCAATTTGGGACACTCCTGCATGTGTGCCCTAGGAGGCGCTTTTTAGCCCTAAGCCTCTGTCATATGGTGTTTTATTTATTTATTTATTTCACAAGTGTTTTTTTAAAAATTTATTTATTTTATTTATTTTTGGCTGTGTTGCGTCTTCATTGCTGCGCGCGGGCCTTCTCTAGTTGTGGCGGGGGGGGGGTGCTACTCTTTGTTGCGGTGCACAGGCTTCTCATTGCAGTGGCTTCTCTTGTTGTAGACCATGGGCTCTAGGTGTGTGGGCTTCAGTAGTTGTGGCACGCAGCTCAGTAGTTGTGGCACATGGGCTTAGTTGCTTCGCGGCATGTGGGATCTTCCCGGACCAGGGCTCAAACCTGTGTTCCCCTGCATTGGCAGGGAGATTCTTAACCACTGAGCCATCAGGGAAGCCCTCACAGGGTGTTTTAAATTGCTATGAATTGAACAGCTGTTTGAAGCCCAACTCCAGAGGCAGTCTCCCTACCACATATGGGGTAACAATGGTCACTCTGATCATGATCTTTATTAGAATTAGTCCTGGGGAGATAGGAGCAATGACACAACTTCTATATATAGAAAAAAACAGGACAAATTAGTAGGGAAAAAACCCTACAAAATCTTTCCATTTCCTGTCGTCCTCATGCCTCCACCATACAAAGGGCCCCTACATTGTCATAAATCTCGTTTTTATAATAAAGGACCCAGATAACACCTTGCGTGGATTATGGGTGGGTTCATGTGGCTCCCCAGCTCTGCCTATGCAGTGGAAAGACTGGTGGGCTCCCAACGCCTGCTGCTCATCTCCTTACTCCCTCTTGCAATCATTTCCACCCCTGTTCTCTGACACTTCCCTAGAGTTCTCCTGCCCTTTAGAAACCACTTCCAATTCTCACCTCTGAAAGGAGGCCAGGGTGAGTGGCCAGCTGGAGGGAGAGACTGACTGGCTAGTCTGTAATTGCCTTCTCTCTCAGCCCTCTTCTCTAAGCAGAAAGAGTGAGGTGAGGGTGTTCCATCCCTCACTTGTATGGTGATAGGTTAGTCTGTTAACTTCCTCATCTTTTTTGCTCCATGGACAGTAATCAAAATACACATATACATACACATGCAGAGCAGAAGTTCTTTTGCAAATGAAACTAGTAGAAACAAAAGATAATGCTTTCCTGTTGTTTCACTCACTTTTCAGGGATATGATCTTAGCTATTTTGCTACCTTAGTGGGCAGGAATAGATGACAGGAGGACTGGACTGCAGTTACTATTTTGAGGTTCATATTCTAGAACTTTTCAGAATGGAGATAAGAGATGGGAGGAAAGAGGGGTTTCTAGTAAAAAAGCTGACAGGTGTGATTAACACAAAATTTAAAAAAAATCAGGGCTCCTATAACCATGATAGAAGTTATCAACTATGAGACAAATCAAATCTTCAGAGGGTTTGACATTTCTCTCTTTTTTTTTCTTTTTTTGCAGTACGCGGGCCTCTCACCGCGCGGCCTCTCCCCGTCGCGGAGCACAGGCTCCGGACGCGCAGGCTCAGCGGCCATGGCTCACGGGCCCAGCCGCTCCGCGGCACGTGGGATCCTCCCGGACCGGGGCACGAACCCGTGTCCCCCGCATCGGCAGGCGGACTCTCAACCACTGTGCCACCAGTGAAGTCCCTGTGTTTTTATTTTTAAAGAATCATTCTGTACAGAATAAACTGGGTTCCTCAGACATGTCCTGGGAGCAGATGAGATGAAGGATGCACATGGTAGAGAGGATGAGGAGCCCAGGTTAGACCAACATCTGATTTTGTTCCCTGTCCTGAAACTCAGGGGAATTCAGTGTTCTTCTCTGTCTTACATTTAGGCATCTTTTGATGCCTAAAGTACTGTTATGAGGTCACCAGAATGAAGTAGAGTTCAGCTGTGCTGGCCCCTCAAGAAGAAATACCTTCTAACAATGGTCCTCTAAACAGCACAACTGTTTTGCACGGTTGTCACAGACTGACCCAGACATGCCCAGACACAGGCCACACATGGACAAGACAAAAAGGGGGAATGGAGTTTATACCATGTTGTACTGCTGGGGCGGAGAGACTGGCAGAAGGACTTGGGGACAGGAGCCTGGAGAGAACTGAACAGGCTGTGGAGAGGGCTGCAGAGCCGGGACTGGCTGTGGACCAGCAGAGAGACATGTGGAAAGGGAAGAGAAAAGGGAGGTACAGGGAGAGGCATAGGCAGGGGTGGGGGTGGGGCAGAGATGGGGAGGGAAAGGGAAGGAACAACAAGGTTAATCATAAAAGAAATTTCACATGAAAAGTAAGGCTTCTGAGCAGACTGGAGACCAAGTCCAGGATAGCTCGTGGTTTTCACATCTCTGACAAATAAGCAATCTCTCCTATAAGTACAGACGCACTGCACACTCTGCCCCATTAGCCACTGAGAACTCTGTAGCTGTTGTGAGCATCTCAGAGCCAGGGTCTGCCGCCTGATCCCAAACACAGCTTTTTCCCCAAGCATTTTTCCTGAGCATAGGATTCCTGGGGCGCATAACCCTCCTTGAATGCCCAAGTGAGAAGGGATTCCCGCTTCTGTAGGAAGGGTCATCCAAGGTCTGGCTCAGCTCTCCCAGGCATGCTCCTGATTTCACACCACAGCTTTCCTGAAGGAAGTGCTCATTCACAAGGATCATCAGCCTCCCAAGGGCAGAGAAGGAAAAATAAGCCAGTTCACACCTACTTCCTCCTGCTCCAGTGATTGTTCTATGCTCCTCCAGGCTGTGAGGGCAGTATGAAAAATGCTCCCATAAGCAAACACGGAGGGATTTAAGAATAAAATATAAATAGCCTAGTTTTAGCTTTTGTTCCTTCAGTCCCTTCATTAGCCTCAAGCAGGAGGACTTGCTTATTAGGAACATGGTGTGTTCTAAACCAACTAATGGGGAGTTATTTTTTTCTCTCTCGTCTTCCCCTCTAGCTATTTCAATCACCTCATTGGTTCTCCAGTCATAGCCTTTGGAGAAGCTATGAAGAGAAGGGGAAATAACACTGATATACATTGTCTCACTTACATACATTATCTCATTACAACCTCACAATAATCCTATACGGAGATAAGATAACTTGTATCTGCAGTTAAGATAGTAAGGCTCAGAGAAATTAAATCATACACCCAGGATCACACAGCTAATGCAGCAGAGCAGGGATGGGAACCTAGTTCTGCCTGACATATGTTCTTTCCACTCTAGCAGTAGGGAGGAGGTAAAGGAAGAAGTCAAACAAAATTACATAAACATCTTTTTGTTTGTGTAACTCTCCTTCCTCTTTCCAAAGTAGAGAATTAAGAGTTGTGGGGGACCAAGGTATCAATACTCTCCTGTCACATATCTCCTGGGACAGGCTTTCACAGAGGGGACTAACAGTTCCAGAGGCAGAGAGTCCAGGAATCAGAAGACATCCAAGATGGAGAATACTCCTGATATCTGCATTAAATAAAATGTAAGTCATCTTGGCTAGGAAAAAGTTACTGAGAATCCACTGTGTGACGTGGGAGAGATAACGCTACAGCCTTGAAAATAAGCTCTCGGCTCTCCTGGCACACCTATTTTCTGTAAGCCAGTGGCATTCCAAATATAACTGCTGGCCAAGCTGCTCAGCTTGAGCTACATGAGCTGGTAACTTTTAGACCCATTTTCTATTATCCTAATCCACTTCTTTCTTGGGGGAGGGCCTGCCATACTTCAGGCCTCACATTCTCTGGGGGACAAGGGGAGGCCTTAGGGACAGGGAAGTGGTAAAACAACTCTGCCTGTTCTTCCTCACATTTGTGAGTTCTGAGTAAAGAGTGAAGAGAGAAGAAAGGATGCTCCTCTGTTAGGCCTCTCCCAACTGAGGAAGGGTAGTGGTAAAAGCAGGTGTATCAGTGCTATTTTTAAGTTATTCTACCACTACTCTCAGCTACAGTTCTCTTCTTAGAGAGTCTCAAACACCAGTTAAGGAACTTCAAAAAACCACGGGAAGCCAAAGACTGGCCCTGAGGGATGTGACTGCCACCTACTGGTGACTTCTGGGCTAGATCACTGGCTCTTGGATCCCGACTGGACTCCATGGAGAGGCTCAGCGGACTCCTTCTCAAGAGTTCTACTCTAAGTTAATTGGGCAAAAGGTAGCCACTGGTCCTTTAATCCTCAGTCTCACCCCTTGGCTTCAAATGTTCTACTGATATGTGATATGGAGGCCTACTCTGACGGCAGAGGCCTTCCAAGAAGAGAAAGAGCATAGTTTAGCCAGCACTGTCCCCAGGCCTGGAGCAAATGCTTTTTGTTACAGAGCTAAAGGTTTTTCTTCAAAAGGAAAACCTTTAGAGTAAGCACAGTAGTATATGTGTGTGTGTGGTCACTTCCTCCATCTCTTCACTGTTATGTACCATTTGAGAAACTAAACAGTAAGTATTCTGGGGCTCAGCAACTTGAGTTTGGAGAGCTACCAGTGCTGAGACAGGGAAAAAGAGAAAGGAAGGAAGAAAGAAAAAGGCAGTAGGAAGAGGAAGAAAGGGATAAAGAGAAAAGGAGTTATATATAATGGGGTGGTGCTGGTATTATATTAGCAGCTACCATAAGTGCTTCAGAGACACCAAAACTTAACCAAGCATAATATTTTTTAGTTTGGCATTTGTGATCACAATTAATTGCAAGAATAAATTTCTGAGATCTGTGTATCAAATAATGTTCCCCTGTCCCCAGTCTATAGGACCTAACCTAGCACTGTACTGCCTGTGGACGATCAATCAATACCAAGAACTCACCCACTGACCCTCATGATTCAGAAGCAGGGACAGAATCTGAGTAAAAGTTTGGGATTTAGGGCCGGTTACCTGAACATTCTATCTAAAAGCTTTTCAGTCCCCACTGGTTAGTCTCTTTACTTATCTCTTTATCCCCCTCCCACTCTTGCTGTCTGTTTCTAGATATGGATGGAAGCAGGAGACAGATGGAAGACTAAGAGGGAGAAAAGGGAACAGAACTGTATTAAAATACACACATTTTAGAAAACTCAAAAAAATACTGGAACCTTAAAAAAGTGAGGCACACACACAGCAACAGTAGGGGATGGCTGGAGGGAGAAGTTCAGAGTTTACTCACAGGTCTGAATTAAGACACAGACAGGGAAAAAAGCACACACACACGCTATGCTTCAGTATGGAGCGAGTTAAGCTAATGTGAATGAGACTTAATGAGGTGGTAGACAGATGGTGGTAGAATAAGAAAGAAAGTCAGGACTACAGAGAAACTGATTTAGGGACTGAGATGAAGGACTTGGAATGATCGGCATGTGTGTTACGTTAAGCCACAAAGCAGAGTTTCCTAGATCTTCACTGTTCTTTATTTTAGCTTCATTTCCCAATGCATGAATGGGGTAGTAATGGGCCATTCTGGGGTGCTACCACTCTAGTTTCCAGTCCCTGGGGTATCAGGGCTTAGGACTTGCTTCTTGTACCTATGGAAGAGATATATCTGAGGCCAGGCTGGACTAACTGAGCAGAGAGATGAGGGAGCCTGGGAGGTGAAATGAGAACTTAAAGTGCAGCAAAAAAGAATATGGACATATTGGCTTCCTGACTACCAGAGAATACTTCAGGATAAAGTATAGGCTCTATTCATGAAGACCTCTATTCATGGAAGAAAAGAGTAAGTGAAGATCTCAGCATATCTCTCCTCAGAGTATTAAGGAGACTTTAAACCTAAAACACCGAGGAGGTTCCAGCTTAGAATAGGATCTGATTCTTATGCTGATGACTTGCATGGTCTCCACAGAAGCAAAACTTAAAGCCTAGTTGGTACCAACATCTAACAGGCCAGCAACAGAAGGAGAAAGAGAGAGCTCTTTCTCTCAGGACACAAAGACAACATTGGGGGGTTTTGTGCTTTATGGCAGGGGCTTTAATGAGTGCTATTTCCTTTCCCCCAAACCCCAACATATAAATATTTGTTTATGGGTCAACAGCCATATGAATACACTCAGCTAGACTATGGTAGGAGCTGTGATGTTTTCAAGCTCCATGTATGGATATAGGGAGCAAAATCGCTTTGCTAATTACACAGGATAGAGGGAGACGGAGTACCGTAGAAATGTGGAATAGGGTAGAAGGTCTCACTGACAGTTCTCAGGAGGAAGAGAAGGAAATATCAAGCAAAACAACTCCCAGGGTGACGCTACTAAGAACACTTTGGCCAAACCTCTGCCCTTCCTCTTCTCTCCCCACAACTCACATACAAGAGGTGGGGGAGGGAGTGGCATATCTCCAAAAACAGATCTTTCCTGCCACCCACAGCACAAGAGACATGACTGTACCTCCAGAGCTTGCTTGAATCAGAGCGGAGGGGGCTCTGGCACCGAGTGGTGACTCACCTGTGAGATCATGTGATTATTCAAGGGTGGCTGCTGCTGAGGCGTGGGTGGGAGAGCAGGAAGTTGCTGTTGCGGCTGCTGCTGCTGGGCAGTACAAGGGAGAAGGCCCCGGACAGACTGGGATGAGGTGACCTGGCTGCACACTTCTGGGGCACCTAGCGCCATACCTAAGGCAAAGAGGAGACCCAGCAAGAGTTGTAAGCACAAGCCATGAACATACCCTCCCCTGGGGGAGGGGAGAGGGCTTTCCTCTTTCCTTGCTGTTTTCCTTGTCATCCCTCTTCTGTCCACTCCCCCACTGTCTTGGGGAGATCCATGCATGAGCACAGATGCATTTCAACAGTCCTGCTGACGGGAGTCCTCATCTTAGCAGGTTTCTACTCCCTGGGGCCAGTAACCACCTTGACTGTCAATGTTTGGTTCTGGAAATAAACAAAATGTGAAGCTGCTGAGGTACCTTCCCTGGAGTGCCTAGAATCTGTCCATCATGATTAGACAGCTGAAAACATGAATGTTTGCTTCCTGGGAAAATATAGATTCCTAGTCCCTTAAGAAACTTGTCTTCTCTTTGATTTCTTCTCAACTTGCAGCATCTCATAAAACTTGCTGAAGACAACCTTCAAGCACATGCTTGTGCACACAGCCCCACACACGTTCATCCAACTATTTTCCTCATTTCCAGGCTCTCCAAGTCATGTATGCATTTACACAAAATACTTTTACTGAATATCTACTATGTGCAGGCATTGTATGATGGATTGAGGACACAAAGGTAAAGGGAACGCAGTCCTTGCCCTTGAGCAGCACAGGATCTTCCGACAAGAGATGGACATCCACACGACGATTAAATTTGGTAAGCGATGCATCAGTGATATGAATAAAGTTGTATGAAAGCAAAGATGAGGAAGCATAACTCTTGGGAGGATTAGAGGGAAGAATTTAAAGAGGACATGGCAGGAGTGATGGGTTTGAAGGATGAATAGAAGGCCTGTCAGACCAAGAGGAGACAAAGCTAATGCCATATTCAAGAAATGGTTGGGAACTCCCCTGGTGGTCCAGTGGTAAGAATCCGCCTTCCAATGCAGGGAACGCGCGTTTGATCCCTGGTTGGGGAACTAAGATCCCACATGCCGCAGGGCAACTAAACCCATGTGCCACAACTACTGAGCCCGTGCACCACAACTAGAGAGGCCGTGTGCCACAACTACAGAGCCCATGTGCTCTGGAGCCCATGCACCAGAACTAGAGAAGCCCGCACACCAGAACTAGAGAGAAGCCCGCATGCCACAACGAAAGATCCTGTGTGCTGCAGCTAAGACCTGACATGCAGCCAAAAATAATAAATAAATAAATATATAAATAAATAAAAAGAAATGGTTGGAGGATCAGAGGAGGATGGACATCTGGAAATGAGACTGAGATGGCAACTGGAGTCAGGAAGTTATGCTACACTAAGTAATTTGGATTTTATTATGCAGAAACATGAATATTTTTAAGAGAGGACTGACATGGTTAGATCTATGTTTTAGATTGGTAAACTGGCTCTAAAAAGGGCTGAGGATAGGGAACTCCCTGGCGGTCCAGTGGTTAGGACTCCACGCTTTCACTGCCAAGGGCCCAGGTTCAATCCCTGGTCAGGGAACTAAGATCCCTGCAAGCCGCACAGTGTGCCCTGCCCCCAACCCCGAAAAAAAAAAGGGCTGAGGATAAAGCAGAGAAACCAGCATGGATAAAGGCAGAGGCAGTGGGGTTAGAAAGGAGGTAACAGAGAAGGGCAACAGAAACCTAACAGAGGCAAAATCTTTACCACTACTGATGTCTTTTGAGAACAAGACCTACAGAACTTCTAGGACGAAAGTCAAGCAATTCTTCAGAGGCAGAAGGATGGTGAAATAGAGGCTCGCTGGGTAAAAAGAACTAAATACTCCTCTGCTAAGAGCACAGCAGAAATATATGGAGAAGGTTACACAGGAGCTCAGGAGAGCTGAAGGGTGGTTACCAGGCTGGCATGTGGAACATATGCTCCTTCTCAGTGACTGGGCTCCAGAGAAGCAACTGCAGCAGTGTCTCTTAAAGTTCTAGCCTATTGCTGCTACCAGTTAATTACAGTATTACAAACTCTAAGGTTCTCTCTGCTCTACAAACCCTCTTTATAAACTCAGGGGCCACAGAATGAAAGCAGCCTTCATCCTCATTTTAGTACATAACCTGAACCTGGGTTGATAGGGATGTCCCACCTCGGTCAGAAATCAGATAAAATAACCTAATCCCAATCAGTTTTTTTTCTATTAGGAAAGAAGGTTTGAAAGAAAATCAGAGAAGGGACTCAAAAGGACAATGGATCCAAGAAATCAAATTTCCCGTCATCTGGCTGTGTTAGTGTTTTGTTAAAAGGAAATATCAGTGACGTTTTGCAGAAGATAAGCAAGAAATGATGGAAGGAGAGAAGCTGTGTTACCTGGCCTGGAGATCCTTCCTGCACTGCCACCTTTACTGCTCCCGATGCTGTCACCCCGGGTGAGGATAGAGATTCCACTGAAGCTGCTGGCTTTGGTGACAGGGGGCCGCATGCTCCGGACAGAGCCATCAGAGTCCGTGCTGCTCCAAGGCCGTGGCTCCAGGGATTTGAGTTCGCTGTCTGTGCTGCTCTGGCGGCTGCTTGAGGTGCGGCTCAGCCCCTCACGGTTCCCCCTGCATGCAGAGACCGCAGTTGTCAGAGCACCCCTCACCTACCACTTCAGCAGAAGGGCTACGAGAGAGTTCATTTCTATTCTCTCAGTGACAAAGGAGGGGTGAGGGTTGGGGGAGGATGGACACTAACTTCTTGTTAGTTGGCTGGCCAACCAAGACTTGATGGGAGCAGACACAACAAGATCCAGTACAGTAACAAAGAGCACAGAGGCAAATCTGGAAGACAGTGAACTGGCAACTAATTCAATACATCAGACCAGAGGTGGACGGGAAACCACGTACATGATGCTGAGATTGGCTGTGGTCACTTCCCCTGGCCCTTCAGGGATCCCACACATGCAGTAAATAGTGGGGAGCAGAGGGGTACCAGTTCCTTCTGAGAGTTCTTAAAACAAAACGACTCCTAGAAGTTACTATTGCTGGAAGGCAGGAGTAGCCAATGACATGGATAAATCCTACAATAGGTCTTCCATATAACACATATCTGAGCCAGCAGAGGTGCTGCTTACGGTCACTTTTTCAGGATTGGGAAGAAGAGTATAGTGGACTAAAGGGGCACTCAGTCTGATAAAAAGAAAACTCGGTCTAAGAGTCTGGAATCAACCCAACCTGTTTTGTGGAAGTTTTGTGTTAGTATCTGAGAACAATTGGTTCCAGGGTCTCTAAAGGCTGACATCCTCAGCAAGATCAAGCAAACATGCCCTTAGGAGTCAGGATGGCAAAGAGCAGGGGGCTGACTGTGCCTAGTTGCTTCCATATTAATAACCCTATTGCCCTAGGCAAGGCACAAGGCTATTGAGAAAAGTGATTCATCCTCTCTTACTTTACTCTGGCAACATCAGGGTTATCCTGATGCTAAAATCACTGTTTGTGATTCTAAACAGCTGTACTCCTCAAGATATATGAGGCTAGCCTGAAAACCCTAAGTCTTGTTGAACTCTTACTGCTTCTTAATCAATAAGCAACCAAGAACCAGGAATTTTCCTTTCAGATCCCCCACCCTCCAACAACTAATGACCTACGAAAACCAAATGACAATTATAAAGATTTTGGTATGTATACTGGGGGGCAACTGAGCAACAATCATAGTAGCTTGGGTTCCCTCCTTTCCACCACCATCCCACCCAAAGCAAATAGAAAACCCTATCCCAACCCCGGTAGCTTCCAAGACATTAGGCTCAGAGTCATTCTACTAAAGAAAGGTATTTTTCTTAAGGGACTAATGTGAAAGAAAATACCTTTCTTTATTAGAATATCTATTCCAAAGGTACTGTAGGGAA